GACCCTTTCACAGGGGTCACCTAAGACCATCCTGCATATCAGATATTTACATTACGATTCACAACAGTAGCAACATTACAGTTATGAAGTAGCAACGAAAATAATTTTATGGTTGGGTCACAACATGAGGAACTGTACTTAAAGGGCCAGAAGGTTGAGAACCACTGCGTATATTGTCACTCTCATTTCATTTTAAAAATTATTTTATAATCTGCTTTCTGTCTCTCTGACTTTGACTGTTGTGGACATTTCACATCAATGGATTCACACACCTTAAAAATTATTTTATAATCTGCTTTCTGTCTCTCTGGCTTTGCCTGTTGTGGACATTTCACATCAATGGATTCACACACCATGTGGCCTTTTGTGTCTGGCTTCTCTCACTGACATGTTTTCAAGGTCCATCCATGTTGTAGTGAGTGTCAGCGTTTCAGTCCTTTTCATGGCTGAATAGTATTCCAGTGCAGGGATGGGCCACATTGTGTTGATCCATTCATATTTTGATGGCCACCTGGGTTGTTCCTAGTTGGGGGAGAGGGGAATGGAGAGTGACTGCCTAATAGGGATGGGTTTCTCTTTGGGGTGATAAATGTCTTGGGACTGGGTAGTAGTGATGTTTGTACAACATTGTGAATATGCTAAATACCACCGAATAGCACACTTTATGGTAAAAACAGTGATTTTTATGTAATGTGAATTTTACCTCAATTAAAAAAAAAGGACTTTATAGTATTTCATACCATGGCTTTACCATTGATCAAATGTGTCCCAAATTCATGGACATGTGGGTCCTTCTAGCTTTCAGACAATTGCATTAAATACGCGTTCACACATCTTTGTGCCCAGGTGTATCTGTAGATGTATTGCCTTTCAGGTGCCTGTAGAATTTGATTTTCCTCCCTCTAGCCTTGGAGATTGCACCACGTTTATTCCCACCCTGGTGGCGGGTCATGGAGTGGCAGCCTCAGACCACTCTTGGGAGCATGACCCACAAGGACAACAGCCACCTCCCAGTACCTTACCCTCTGCAAATCTTCTCTCCCAGGTTGCTGACGTTCAAGGCCTTTGCCCAGCTCTTCATCTTGGGGTGCTCCTGGGTGCTGGGCATTTTCCAGGTAGGACCCATAGCCAGTGTCATGGCCTACCTGTTCACCATCATCAACAGCCTGCAGGGAGCCTTCATCTTCCTCATTCACTGTCTGCTCAGCCGCCAGGTATGTAGCTGCTGCCTTCCCTGTCCCTGACTTCCCCCTTCCAGGGGACATGCCTGTGGAGCACACTTCCTGCACCTGGAAGCGACTCATCGCCCCATGTCTGTCTCCAACTCCAGGTACGGGAGGCATACTGGAGATGGATCACCAGGAAGGCCAAACCCAGCTCCCAGTCCCAGACCTCAGGGGTCATACTGTCATCCATCGCCTCCACTTCCAAAGCGGTGAGAGACTGGGTGTTTGATGGAGGTTTTGTTGAAGGGCACGCCTGCTT